GGCTGAGATTAAAATCCTCTCTGAGTTATCCCAGAGAGCACAGAATTCCCATGAACTATTTGTGGTCCCTTCCTTGCCAGCATGATGTATGCCTTTGTGTGCCTGGGCTCCGGGGGAGTTTCCAGCTGAAGGTATGCGATCCATAAAGCCTTCCCGATTACTTCACTAGGAGCAGCATTTTGGAGTTCAAGTCTGTGACCTGAGTTAAGAGAGGAGTGAGCAAAGGGACCACATTACTGCTGCCTGCTTCCTGCTATGGCTTTTGCATGCACCCAGAGGGCTCAGACACATCCTGTGGGGCTGTTTCCTTTCTTCTAAGCCTCCAAATTAGACTGAGTATTTTAAGGGGTGGGGGGAAAGAAATCATTATGAAGAGGAAACAGAAAAGCTGAGACAAAGCCACTCTTCAGTCTCCTCAGGAGGGGGGTTGGAGATGCTTCACAAGCAAGAATAATGGGGTATTCTGCAATATTCCCACCATCTGGAAATCCAAGTGGATTAAAATGCAGTTTATGCTCAGCCACTCATGAGCATCCATCTGTATGTTACAAGATGGTGTTTTGGATCGTGCATTCTGTTTATACATGGCAGGGGATGTCTGTCACTGGACAAGGTACGGCTGGAGGGAACAGCAGAGATCACTGGGGATCTGCCTTGCCTTTAGACAAAACTGGCTGCCAGAGTTAGACCTAACCAAGATTCATGTAAATTTTCACTTCAAACCAAGCCAGTCCTGGCCATGGGTTTGGAAAGGGAACAGCCCTGCAGTGAGGACTGTGGAGGAACAGGAGAGACTCACTGCCTTTTCCATGGATGCTGCACATCCAGGGTCTTCTGCAGCTCCCATCCTTGCTTTTGTTCATGTGTTTGGAGCTCTGTATTCAGTGATGGGGCTTTGTTTTCTTGTACCGGCCAATGAAGAGCCAGAACTCAGGCACTGGATGCCAGCTGGACACAACCCCTTCCAAGGCTCTCATGGGATATGGGACTTGGGAACAGCCATGCAAGGCTGCAGGAGCACAGCTGGCTTTCAGCTCAGTGTCTGTATTGAAGAGCATCACCCCAGGAGTCTGTTGGTTAACCTTGCACCATTAAGAGGAGAACATGCAGACACAGCCAGAGCCCTTTGAATCAAACCAGAGGAACCACAGGCAATCTCCACAAAGATCAAGGATGTTACTCTAAAAACCTCTTTTTCCAAAGGAAAAGATTTCCTTCCATGAGAAGCAGCAACTGGCATCCACAGTGAAGACCTCAGCACTTGGACAGGAAGAAAACCCAGTTCAACCTCATCCTTGGAACACAGGAGGAGCATCCCCACCTTCACCTGAGACAAACATTGTCCCTTTTCACAACCGTTTTCTTCCTGCTTGAAGGAGGGCGAGATCAGAGACACGACATCCAAACTTCTCCTTTTTCTGTGAAACCACTGAAAACAGAATGTGGCCTCTTTCCCCACAGATTCATGTTTTCTGTACTGCAGCTTTTTCCTCCCACACTGATGTAATGGGAGTTCATGTTACCAAAGGCTGCTGGGGTTATACAATATATTCTCTAGTTCTTCATCTCTGAAGATGTCAAGTACAGAGAGGAAATGATGCTAAGATTCTCTGAGTACCCAGCTATTAAGGTATTTACCTCTGAAGTGGAGTATTTCCTGAATGAAGTGTGAAGTTGGTTAGATTGCTTCTATTACAAAGCAGCCTCTTACTGGAGCCCTGAACTGTTGAACATGAGGCTTGTTGACTGCATGGCAGCAGGAGCTGTTGCTTAACCTCCAGGAATGTAGTTTATTACAGTTTCAAAGGAAAACTATCTCCTTTTAGGGTTATAGCAAAATAAAGGAAAATTAAAACCCTAAATTAATCTGCAATCAGATTGATTTGTGGGCTTTGAATCCCTTCTTCTCATCAACACAGATGACTGGCACATTCTCCAGTGCTTGCCACTGCAGACAGCTCCATAGTCCATATGTCTGTGGCAGAACAGATCACTCCTCTGTGCACACTCATCCTGAAGTCAGTGCCGCACATTACCCAGCAGCGATCCAGAGCAATTGCCCCAATTCAGTAAGAGAGATGGATCCTACGACACGTCCTCTCCTCTACAGGCTGAGTGTGGTCTGATCTGCCACCGCAGCTCGCTCCTATCAGTAGACATCTCACAGCAAAGTATTAAGGGGAATGACTGTACATACCACATTATCCCTGCAAGAAATTCCCAGCTTAAGCTACCTGTAGAGAGGGCCTTGGGTGAAATGGTCTAGGGTGAGGAGTCCCTGCCCATGGCAAGGGAGGTGGAACTGGATGAGCTTTAAGGTTACTTCCAACCCAAAACCATTCCATGATTCACAAAAGCTCTCTGCCCACCGAGATGCAGGCAGGAATCCAAGGAATTTCCAGAGTACTCAACCACGCTCCCAGCCACGCATGGATGATGTGGTGATGCGCCCATAGCATAACTGTTCTTCCTCCATATGAAGCCATTGGCTTTCAAGCTCTGCTTTGAATTAATCTTTCTTGGGGAAAAATCTGTTAGGAGCGAGACTCAGAGCTATAGATGGAGCTATAGATGATCCATGTTCCCTCCAAGCCTGCCACTTGAGTCTCCTGTTACTGGAGACTCCCAAGGATGCTTGTAACCATGTCAAATACCAGGCTGCTTCAAATGGAGAAACTGAACAGAAAGCCAACAGCAGTCCTGTCTCCAGTGAGTCTGGGACTTCATCGTAACAGGCCTGGAGATGGAGCGGGACTGAGTTTGCTCCTTGGAAGGGTTAAGTCCTTCGCTGTCCCACATGGGGCAGTCACAACCACCTCACCTGGCTGCCAACTCCCCAGCTGCCCAGCCAGGAGCCTCTTAGAGAAGTGTAACTTTTAACATCTCTTAGCAAAGCAAGCGCGCTGTTTGTCTTGGCAGGGAAGAGCCGTGTATACACAGCTGGAGAGCTTGTTTTGTCTCTTTGTACAAGTCTGGACTAACCCAAATCTCTAAAGGCTTTGTAAAAATGCTCTCTTTATGTAAAGCTTTTTATACATTACAAGATGTCTCCAAAGTCTGGCCCTGCTCAGACCCCTTCTTCCCCTGCCTCTTCCACTCTCGCTGCTAACCCCTCCACTACCACGCATGCAAAGTCGGGACAGTTGGGATCTTTCAGTCCCTCCTGGCATGGCTGCATCCAGAGGTTTCCTTCAGAAATTCCCAGCTTTCTTTTCAAACCCAGCCAATGTCTGCGTGGATTTACAAACCTCAATGCTTCAGATCCCCGGGAGCAAGGCAGAAAGAAAGCGGCTCTACAGACACAGGGCTGGAGCGTGGGTTCAGGGGATGGAACCTTGCAAGGCAGAGCCTTGGAAAGAGAAAGGCTGCTATCATAATACCCTTCTGTAACTAAAGCAGCACATATCTGCACGTGCACGTGTGTGTGTGCTAGAAAAAGACAAGGAGAGGGCTTAACAAATATAGACCTGCAGTGCTCAACCGGTATCTGTGTTTGCATGAGAGCACAAAGACAGAGGCTGGAACAATGAAAGGTTACTTCAGTAAATGTGTGTGGAGGCTTTTAAAGAGCTTTCCCTTCCCTGCAGCCAATAAATGTGAGGCTCAAACCACAGCAGAGGCCTTTTATGGGGCACCTGCACCGTTAGGTTCAGTAGATACTTCTGCAACCCAAGGAACACTGCACAGCTCCGTTGAGCTCTGCCTATTTCTGCTGGCTGCGATTCAAACAGGGCTGACTGATGCTTGGGCTACCAGAAACCAACTGTTATTCCTATCTCACCCCCTAAATCATGTTGCCAAGAATCCCCAGCTTGGAAAAAAAAACCATTAAAGGCAGGAACAGCCCTATCCTTGGACACGAAGTTAAACAGAATTCGCCCAATCTCGGGAAAGCGAGAGGCTAGAGCAAACAGAGCATTTCCAGCGTGCTTTGATCTTAATTCTGGGAGTCTGCACCTTGGCTTCGTGTTTCAGTTTCATTTCTGCTCTGTGCCACTCTGCCCCTTGCCAACAATCATATCAGCACAGCGGCGTGAGATGGCCATCTAAGCCAACAGGAAAGGGAGAAATTGCACGGCTCAGCCAAACCCTCAGTCATACCCGCACCGCCCAAGCGTAAACCTGATCTACTCAAGCACACATGGGCTGGATGAGCTACAGCAAAGCCACATGTCACTAAAAGCCATATTCTTAGCTGGTAAAAACTGTGTTTCTCAGTGGAGCTGTTTCATAGTGGAGGAGCAGCTGGCATCGAACCGCATGAGGTTTATAATAAACCAGAGTTGGCTTAGGGCTCCCTTCAAAACAGTTTTACTAAAATAAGGTTCTGTCATGGAAAAACTTCACTTCTGGCCATAATTCTCCATGTTTTTCAAGTAAATATAGCACTAAACCATAAAAACCATTTTGCAAAGGGTAGAACGGAATGCAGCCCTAAGGAGAAGGACTTGGTGGTGTTGGTCAATGGGAAGATCCCCATAACCCAGCTTCAATGTGCGCTTGAGCCCAGAACCCCTCCGTGTGCTGGGTTGCACCCCCCCTGCAGCCCTGATCCAGCTCTGGGGCAGCAGCACAAGAGGGACCTGGAGCTGTTTCTTTCCCCTTCTCTCTTAGTTTTGAGGAAGGGACTGATGGTGCCACCTTCCCTCCACAAGGATGCTGCAGTAAGAGGCTTCCTGGCATTTTTAAGCCACTCCCAGGTTATCAAGATAGGAAAGAGGGAAATGCCCAAGAGAAAAATACCCTTTTTATACCCACCATGGGGGTTTATTGATGTTTAGAAGTAGCTACAAGGGCCACATGTGGAGAGGAGGATCCAGAGACACATAACCAGGGATCTCAGGGAGTGCTTTGGGCATGAGGTTGTCACTAGAGGCTGTGCAATCAGGCAAACGAATAGAGCAGAAATTCACATCAAATTGAGGATCTTTAATACTTAAATCTCCAACCCCCCATCCTTTGCCCTGTCAGTGATAGCATCATGAAAACGTGTTCCTTACCTCTCTCACACTGGGGACCGGTGAATCCATAGACACAAGCACAACGGTTCGGCCCAATGCATCGACCTCCATTCTGACAGCCGTTTTCACAGACAGCTGTGTTGAAATGGAAAGAGAAATCAGGGATTCTTGGTCTTAGTGAGACCCCAGTGTGAGATGTGTGGTGCTGGCAGCACTTGGAATATCGCCTGCTTTGTGTTGCTCACCCATCAAGAGGCTCCTCTATGCAGGGAACATACAGAGAGAAGCCTGATCTTTTTCTTCCCTGGAAGATTACTTCCTGTTTCTGAATGAACCCATTTATAAAAAGGCTATAAAGTCTCATTTCACTCGAGAGGATTTCCTGTGCACTGGAATCTCAGTTCATTCGGGTCAGCATTGGGATTTAGATGTCAAGGTCAAGATGAACTGATACGAATGAGAAACTGCATTAAAGGCAAATGTTTCAAGGGTGACAGCAGTGAATTGTGAGGAGAGGGGGCTTGTCAATCCCACAGACCCAAAGCAAAGAGGAATGAGTCTGATCTGCACACAGTGTTCACTGACTTCAAATTAGACCTGCTACCCTTAGCTGAGAAACTGCAGTTAACTGAAGGCAAAGGAGGAGGTTGCTGATTAGGTCCTGGGCTGGAGCTAAGCTCATTGAGCAGGATGTAGGAACACTCCTGCACATGCCACGAGCAACTGATGGCTGTGACAGATGCCGTTGACCTATTGAAATCTCAGAAGCTGTAATGACTAATGAGAGGAAGAGCATTATGACACCTCCTAAAGCTCCTACAGAGAGCTTCACTACTCAGTTGCCCAACACCACCATTAGCACATTGTAGAGGAGTAGAATAGACCCTCATGAAGGTTGAGGTCCACAGCACCTCAGTGCAGCCCTCCCTGGTCTAGAGCCAAGCTCTGAGCTGCACAGGCCAGGTACTGCTGCATTTCCAAGCCTTCCAAGACTACACTCATCTTAGAGCCGAGGAAGACGAAATCTGCTCGCTGGGATGCTGCCAATGGGACTCTCCATTGTTCCCCACCCTGTCAGTGATGTCTTGCCAATATCTGAACCATTATGAAAACTCTACTGAGGATATTCTAGGTGGAGCTGGTAGCAGCACATAATTAAGGTTGCCTAGCACGTTCCATTCTAAGCCCAGGGTTGCTGTTACTTATAATTTTCCCAAGCTTGAGCTGTTCGGAATGAGATTTTCCATATGGTGTGTCTGCTTGGAGTGGAACTGTTTGGAAAGCTGCAGCAAAAAAGGAAATCAGTCATAGCTGAGGAGAAGTTTAGGGGGAAACATGGTGTTTTGCCCAGCTTTTACTTCTAGACCTTACTGGGAATCTTAGCGATTCTCACAGGGAGGCAGGGATTTGAAATTTCCCTGGAAAACTCCATTTGCTCAGAGGCTCCTTCAGAACTATTGTGCACACTTGCTTACTAGACACTTACTGAGGATGGTACCCGAGTTGTTTGGGTGCTACTTCTACAATGTGCATGAGCAGTGATTTAAAATGGCCAAATATAGGAAACTGGGGGGAATTCAATCTCTCCCTGTGAAAGGCAGAAGTGATTTGACAAAGCAGAGAACCAAGTCATAAAACACTGCAAAATGTCTTTCAATTACAGTATGGAGGTTCCTCTATAAAAAATCGGTGCTGTCAAATAACAACTAAAATTCAACTTCCCAAACACAATCAAGAGCAACTTCTAATCAGAAAGCACTGGTTAGTTTGTGGTTTTGTTGTTCTTCTAATTGAAAGCGTTGAGAATATGCTGTTTATCTAAAACAATTTACAGAGAAATCATATCTAATGTACATATATATTTGTTACATTTATTTACATATATATCTATGCTTATATATATTTACAGCTAAATTACATCCAGTATGTCTATATCTGTATCTATATCCCCTAAGGAGAGGGGGCTGAGATTCCAATGGAGAGGAGGATACAGTGCTGCCATCAAAGAGCACATCAGTGTGTGCAAGGTGACCTCTCTAGTCATGAAGCTGCATGGATCCAGCCTTGCCCTCCCTCACCAGCAGGACCTGCAGGTACTTACGTTGTCCACAGTAGGTTCCAGTGTAGCCCTTCTGGCACAGGCAGGACTCCTCATTGCAGCTCCCACCATTCATGCACCTCACATTGCAGGTTTGGACTATGGGGAAGAGAAGGGAAATATCACACAACGATGCAACAGCTTGTGATGGGAGGTGAGCACCTCACATGTAGGGATGCTCAAAGCTTTCTGGTCTCAGTGCAGAACCTAAGGGTGATGGTAAGTGGCCAGTTCCTTCAAGTTAAGCAGAGAGACTGTTGACCTCCCATGGTAGGATATGAGCCCATAGTGTGGGTAAAGGCTTACACTTCCACTGAGGTACAATTACAAAAGTAAATAGAGAGCCTGTTCTTTATTACCTAAGTGTAAGATGTTTGATTCTTCCTATACCTGATATTGTTCAGACAGGGAAACCCATGAGCACTATGGGCAGTGGGAAAAGAGGAGCAATTCGGGGATGTACTTCAAGTTCATCCCAGACGGTATAAGGTATATATAAGGCTATATAAAGCATATATAAGGATAAGGTATCGTTGTCTTCTTACAGCAAACAGCTTTTAGAGTCATACAAACAGAGCTCATTCCACAGAAACTCATCATTGTGCTTTGCTAAGGAATCTACCCCAGTTAAACAACTGCAGCTTTGCCCTTTCTACAGGACACCGGAGCTCGTGTAACTGTGAGTAAGGGCACAGTTCCTGGTACCTCCCTTTCTTTCATAACTCTGCCATTCTAAACAAGCTTTTCTTTCAGGATACCACACTTTTCAAGTATTTTCATACCCTTTTTATTATCCTTTTGGATCATTGCCCCATTTTAGAAACACACTTTTCACATTCTGGGCTGTCTAACCTTTAAAATGCCATTGTATTAAAAGACCTATGAGATGTTTGGGGGAATAGGATTTCTTTGGTGGAGGAAAAGCATCAATTTTATGATACTTCTCTTCTTTTTATGTGGCCTATTACTATTACTATGGTGCAATTCATTTAATACAAGGGGTTTTTAAGACATCTGAAAAGAAAAGCACGTATCATCTATTCTTCTTGCTGTGTTAGAGTTCAGCTTTCACACTGGATTATGCCACACTCAAATGTGACTAATGCACTGTAGGAAAACAATAGCAATAAATAAACTGGGAAGTTTTATACTGATGTAGACACAAAGCCAGTATTGGCTTAACCCTTTCATCACTATTCAATGTTTAAGTAATGCGGTATTTAAGCAGAAGAGCCCCAGAATGGGGCTTAACTGCTAAACACTGAGTTACAAATACAGGTCAAAGAGCTTTCCATCTTCCCTGAATGGCCTGGAACAATGCATTCATCCTTTGTCAGATGTGACAACTCGAACTGCAAGCCCTGAGGTTACAGCAAGTTATGTGAAAAGTGGTTTTCAGCATGAACCACCTCGTGTCTGCCAGGGATAGAAGGGGCCCTGATTTGGCAGCTCGAAGGAGAGTGGATGGTAGCTATGGCTTGTGTCTTCTCTGTTCCAAGCAGGGAAGAGCTGGGGCCAGTGCAGGTGAAACATCTGTCCAAAAGGCAGTAGGACAAGTATCCAATAGGGATAATATATGGTTGATGCCTTGTTCATAGGAAGCCTGAAAGGAAGGAGGAGTGGAATGGGAAGTCTCAGAGCTTTGCGTTCAGGATGCTCAGCACATGTGCCGTACATTTAATCCATGCATTGCTGGTGTGGTTTGAATTAGTCATGATGTCTACTACTCTTCCTATTGCTCTATGGCCAGAGATCAGGCCAAATTTAGATGAAAGCTTAATGATTAAGGAAACTAAGCTGGAGGCTTCAAAGCATTGCTGGATCATCAGACATGAGCCCAGTCTCCCTGGAAAAGGCAGTTTCCAGCACACGCTTCCCCTGCACTGCTCCCTACAATTCATCAGCCCTGGGAAAGCAATTGCACAGAGCAAACCTGGGAGGGCTGCCCAGAGATGGAGGTAGCTCAGAACTGTCAGAGCTGTCCATCTGTCAGGAACCAGCATCCTGAGCCTCATTCCATGCACGCAGCACGAGGAAAGGCTTAGTGGAGTTGAGACCTTTTCGGGCTTCAGGGGCTGACACAGGAAGAACCCTGATGCTCATCCAGAAACTTTCCCACTAAGTGGCAAAGACTCCTCCTGGACCTGCACAAAGCAGGTCCCTTTCTTGTGCCATGATCCCCAAAGCCCTGAGGTCCCGTCACCATCTCACTTATCCCCAAGGCTGGCACTGTTAGAACCCCCTGCAGGAGAGCATCTTCCAACTGAGAATTTAAAGGCCTGTTCTGCATTGTCAGGGTTTGCCAGGGTAGCAGAAACCGAAGTCCTAGGAATAAAGGGAATGATGGCTCACCCTGGTTAACTTTTCCCAGGGCTGGGTTGGATCAGTTCTACAACTGATTTTAAAGGACCGGTGGCTGCCACCATCAGCACCAGTCTCCAGGCAGGTTTTCTTCCTGCTTACCAACTACTGCCATCTGAGCAGTCACTTGTGAATGACTCCTGAAACACCCTTACTCCCCAGAGCAGGAAACCAAGCCTTCTGTTACAACAGAGAGAGGCAGAGTGGCTTTTATTGCCTCTGGAATGCACCGTTTGTCTGCTTTACCTCCCTGAAGCATTCATGATAAATACAGATCCAAGCATCCCCACAATGAACGCCAGATTTGATGAAGCCCCTGCAGAGGATCCTACCCCCACCTCGAGCACATGCTGCAATCCAGCCCAGGCCCAGGGGAATGCCAGGGCTGTGCCCAAATGTATATACTGCTCACAGCATTCCTTGCATTCCTGCGTGATTGCTAACATATGGACCCTGACTCCAGAAACCCGTGTGGCTTCAGCACCTTCCTCCCGGCAAAGACACGGGGAAGGTCTGCAGGAGCAGCACACGCACATGGGGTCTGGTGCTGAGCGCTTGCTGGGGACATCTGCAGGGCTGGAGCACAACGTGGCACTTGGGAAGCAGCTTCTGGGAATTTCCTTCTTGGAGTCACATGAGGAATGTGGGGCTGGGGGGGTCTGGCCTTCAATCAGAGCCTGCGAGTCACTTTGGTAACAAGAGCTTGCCCACAGAGGGGCAATAACGGGAACTACATCTGGGGGGTGTCTCTAGAAACAGCCATCTGAGACCTCAGAAGGCTCTGAAATCCTCTGCATTCCCACCTTTTACACAGGGCCCAGGCAAAACCCCTTCTTAAACCAATTCTGTGCCACAGCTCCGTTTCTTTGCTTGCAGGATCTTACTCTGTGGCTGGTGGTGTTTGAGTTGTGGCACCATGTATGTGTGAAGTGCTTCTGTAGTCAAGTGAAAACGGTCACACAGGGTTTGGTCACCCCCATTTGGGGATGTGGAGGGGCACCCCCATCCACACACTGCTGTCACTTTAGGAACAGCTGAAGCCCTTTTGGGCTGCCTGTAACCTGCATTGACCCAGGTGCTGGCTCATAGGAGCTTGGGTGGAAGGGCTTGCACATCGGGCTGGCTATGGCTTTGTCTCTCTAAGCCTAAACCCCCCAAAGGAAGGTGATCCCCCCCCCCCAGCTCTGGTTACACTCCCCAGCACTGCACCACCCTCCAAGAAAATCATCTTCATGCCTGAAGATCCCAAGCTTGAACATCTCAAGCAGCAGCTTGTGGCCATCACCCTCCGTTACATATCATTGACTCATATCCAGCCTGGGCTCTACATAATTCCCAGGTCCTTTCAGCAATACAATGGAAAAGGGGCCCAAAGGAGCAGTAATTCCCTTCCAGAAAGTACACAAGATCATTAGCCATCAGGATTTAGCCTCAAGCAAGAGTGTTTTCCGTGCAGAACCATGCACTGCAGGGTAACAGTGGTTGCAAGCAGGGTCTGGTATTGAATGGGCAGGGATTACCAGAGGGATATGGGAATTGCTGGCTGGATATGTGCCTGTCACTCTGAGTTACTCAGAGACCTAAGCCAGTCCTCTTCCCAGGTCCAAGCTGGGAGAAGAAAGCAGAAAAAGGGGCAATGCAGTTTCTGCATTCCCAGCTCTGCCAGTGGGGAACCTCCTTAAGTCACAGCAGTTGGTTAAAACCCCGGGCAGCTCTCCCTGACATCCAAATCCCAGCCCAGGAAAAGCTGCATTGTTTTTCCACTGGGAAAAATAGAATATTTATTGGCTTCCCAAAAGCAGTGACAGATTCCATCCCACTGGAAAGAACAGCCAGGGATGGATGCATGGACTCCATGGCAGCAGCGTCGCCCTTTGCTGCGGAGATGCAGTTTCTGAGCTGCATCCTGCAGGATCCCTCATACAGGAATTGCAAGCAGTTTACCCCAGGTATCGGGGCAGTGAGGACCCTTAGTAAAAGGCCACAAAGAAATGAGACTTTCTGACCACTCCCCAGTTCAGATTAGAACCTGGCTGCCAAAACACAAACCATTTCAGGGATGCACAGACATTTCCTTTCATTGGGATGGGGACATTAAGAGAGCACAGAACGGCTCCAGAGGGAGGAGCAGCACCAGCAATATTCTTACCTCCAGCTGAGCCGCAGTTGGGAGAAAGCTGTCCATTGGAGCACGTACACATGTTTGGCCGTGAACAAAAGCCATCACCACAAGAATTCCTGCAAATGGCTGGAGGAAGAGAAGGACACAGCGATGAGCACAGAGGGACTTGCTCACAGGCATGGCTTCAGCTGCTAAAGGGCTGTGGATTCACCTCTTGTAAGAATAAGAACCTGGGCAAGAAGCTGGGGCACCTCGCAAGGACTCAGGGCAGAGCAGCAGTGGGAAGGACCCACTTGTTCACAGGGAGTTCTTGGAGACACCTTCCTTTTACCATAGGCAGTGGTTGGTCCTGCTGCCACACTGCTTTTAGAGCCAGCAGAGGACAGGGAAGACATAGTTCACCTTTATATTTGTTATATTATAACATATATTTGCTATTATAATATATGTTATGATATACCAAATCAATTTGTTTTGCCTGCTAACAAAGCTTCTCAGCAGAGACAAGTGATGCTCACGCTAAGCCAGGTTGTTCTCTTCCTTACACTGTGTGTGTCTCCACAAAACATTTTGCGCTCTGTGGTCTGTTAACTGGGATGCATCTCCTGTGGAATGAGGGGCTGAGCCTGAGTCAGCCAGAGATGCATCAGCAGGATGCCTTCATATCAATCCCCATCCTTTCTTGCATGGGACCCCTGCTAATCTCTTCCCTTTCCTGTGCCATGGGAGCCAAGAGCATAGCTGGCAGTATTGTTCCACCTGTGTAAGCACAACTTTTATGAGAGCCCCATGAAAGTATCTCATCTCTGTGTGTTTTATAAATACAATTACAAGCCAGAGTCCCCTGAGGACCTGCAGCCCAGATGGCATGGTTTAGTTATGAGAAAAGTCAGCAGCCAGCCCCGAGTGTCGCTAACCCCACATGCCACAGAGCAGCTCTTTGCCTGGGAGTTCCTTAACCCTTCGCTGCAGTCAGCATCCAACTCAAGCCCCGTATCCCTGTCAGGGCATCCTGTGTCCCAAGGATGCTGAGGATTATGTGAGTTTCTCTTAGGAGAAAGGAGAGGGCGCAGAACTTTGATTCTTACCATCACCTGGGGTGAAGTTGGATGCATTTAATGCATCTCATACCCTGAGATACGAGGCTTCTTCATTGCCTTTCTGTTTTGAGTGCATAAAATGCCATTCTCTGGGACTGACTAATCACTGTGTGCAAGGATACATCAACAGTCCCCATCCCAGGCCACACTGGATGGAGCTTTGAGCAACTTGGTCTAGCAGAAGATATCCCTGCCCGTGGGACATCGAGGTTGGAACTGGTTAAGTTTTAAGGTCCCTTCCAAACCAAACCATTCTATGATCGCTCCTAACACAACAGACACCATTTCCATTGACAGGAGTGTATTTACAGCTCTGGGCTCACTTTTGTACATCTTGTCCCAAACTTTTCTCTATGAGGAAGCACAAGGTGTTTCTCTCCCAGAGTTGACTGAGATTTTGACTCTGAAGATGGAATTGCCTCTGAAATATGGGACCTGTCTGAGGTGGGAGATCCCACTAGAGGAGCCTGCTGTTTTCCTCCCACTGTCAACTCCTTTTAGGAAGTTTTGGGAAAGGGCATTCAATACAATTCCAAGTGTGCTCTAATGCAGATTTATTCAAGAAGCTAAAATACGGGAGATACCAACATCCCATAGTGCTGTCAGCTGTTTTGTATGCCCAGGTTATTGTTAATACCTCCAGGACGTCATGTATTTACTGTGTTCCAGTAGGAAGCATGACCAAATGCAGGTAAAATCACCCCTGCGGTCTCCACTGAGAATCCCATTTACTGACTCTTGAGCTGACCTGCACTTCCCATCCAAAGGGCAGGCTCCTTCATCTCCGGAACACCAGGGCAATGGGGCAGTGGACAAAAGGCCAGGCACTAAATGGCACCAGTTGCAACCACCCTGGTTCAATGAAACCTCACAGAGATGAGAACTCCCAGCACGGGTGGGTTATGAAATGTTGTGTTATCCACTCATCTGTGAGATGTGCATCCCTTCTCACATGGAATTTAGCTCCCTTGGTGCCCTTAACGGGAAGACGGATACTCACGGACGATGCACTGGTTCCCTCCAGGCAGCGTTTTCCAGCCGGGGCAGCAGTAGGAATGGAACCTCGAGCCACAGACATTGGGTCTGAAAATGAAAAACAATCCTTGTTTTCCTCTGTTTCTGTGCAGTGCATTGGATGGATCCAGCATGGATCATCATGGATCATCGCTGTGGGAGAGCGGTGAAACAGCTTCTGATGGGACAGTTCTCTGCCAAACCCCATTCCCTCGCTGTGAGCTTGAGCAAGACACATTTCATTCCCACCAAAGGAACCACCATACGTTATGTCAGGAACTGACTTCTGAGCTCCCTCTGCAGAATGCTCTGGGGCTCTGAGCTTACAGTGACTCTCTCAGGGCTATATGTAGGGTGAGGAGCTCAAGGAAAGCCAGGCCTACCCTGACATGAGGCTGCAGCATGGAACTGTAGCCGCAACGTTAAACATCATCAGTCTAAAACCGGTCCATATTCAGTCTGTCAATGACCTGAGCAACCTGGTCTAGTGGAAAATGTCCCTGCCTGTGGCAGGAGGTTGGAACTGGATGAGCTTTAAGATCCCTTCCAACCCAAACCATTCAATGAGTCCATAATCAGCTGGAGACCTGCATGTCTCTGTTGTAGGAGCTGTACCATTGGTCTGTTTTCCTGTCCTTGCCTTTGTTTCTGCCTGGAAATCTGAGTGGTGGGGAGGTTTTCCAGGTTTTCTTCCACCAAATGCCATTCTCAAGCTCCTGCAGTGAGCCAGGAGTGGGAAGGCAGAGGGTGCTGGGAGGGCTGTGCCCCTGCACACAACAACCAGTCTCAGCAGCGTCCTGTGGGGCTCAACTACCAGATTCCAGCCTCTCCCAGCATACAGGCTGGGAGATGGTAGTAGATCCCAAAACACCCTTAATCCATTACCCAGGCACAGACCAGTCTTCCACCTTCAGCATGACTGCAGTAGATGCATAGGGGATACACAGAAGACATGCAGCCAGGATGCAGCACCCATACAATACACATGCCGAAAGCATGGCAACCAAAGCAGAGATGCAGCAGACCCACACGGGATGCACAGCACATGTAGCATGAACACAGTCACACGGACAGGGCACAGCAGAAGTGCAGCTGTGCAGCAGACACAGCAGCTGTGCAGCAGATACACCAGGGATGTGGAAGAAGCAGAATGCTTTCCCATGGAAGCAGGAACTGGGCAGTGCTTGCATTAATGACAAAAACACTGAGCTGGACTGAGAGCAAACTCTGAGGAACCCTCTACTGAGCAATGAGTGATGTTCCCATGTAGAAGCCATCCCTACCCTTCACGGCTGATGGAGATCCCTGAGCAGCACAGACTGGGTGGGATGACTTCCTGTGCTGCTCTGCTTCCCAGTTCTGATGTCCCAGAGCGCACAGTGCCCTGTATAGAAACTGTGGCAACTCTTTTCCCATCTGACCTGCTTTTGCCCAGTGCCATGTGGCTTCCTTCACCAGTCTCACTAACACAGAACCAACAATAACTCAGTGCTATGGTTGGAGGTGGAGAGTGACTCTATATTTTGATCCTAAAACCACCTGTGTTTTCTAAGAGCCTGGGCATCTGCTGCTTTTCCTGCGCTTAGAAATCAAAAGGAGACCTTGAATGCAGAGCTGCTTCTGCTGGTATGGATTAGGGTTCCCTGCAGATAGGGGTTGCAGCTCCTGGTTGCATTAAGTTGGATAAAGCACAACCAATGCTGCCAGTGGTACTCAGGTGTAAATCTTTGGGTAGAGTGTCTGTGGTTGACATGAACTGGGAAGAGAAGTTGTCTGAGCAGAGAGATGCAGAGATCCTGTAAAGCCCAAATTCCATCCCTCAAGTTCCCAGCATGATGGATGGATGGATGGATTGATGGATGATCTTCTTTAGACACAGGACTCCCATTGCAGTGTGTAGGCAGCCCAGAGACCTCAGCCAGGCACCAAATGCAGTTTGACTTCCACCTGAAGCTGTCTGCTCACTCCTGCTTCCAACACGTGGATGTGAACAGCCATGCAAGGAAGGTACCATTAACCTTCATACACTGTTATATGGCCATGTTATCAGGCTTTTTTGTCAAAGTCCTTGAAGGAAGATATATCTTCATCAACCCCATAGACTACAACAGATGGAAGTGGAAGTTGAATGAAACTGATACTGAAGTGGGTATTTTGAACTGCGGTGGCAAGTACCACCTTTTCCTATGAGACAGGGAGCCAAGGATTTCATCAAGCTCTGTGCAGGGATGCTGGGAGAGGCCCTGGGCACCCTGCTACACAGTAAGCTAAAGCACCAGCTCACCATTGTTCCTCCAGAACTGAACCTTTACAAGCATATGCTAAAAATTAGCCGAGTTGCAAAACAAAACATGGGGAGAACCCATTTTGAATGGGTTGAAATTAATGGTGTCACAGAACTGACCTAGAGGGAGAATGAAATCAGATTCCAAAGCAATAACTCAGTGAGGAGAACACTGCTTTGTGAGGAAAAAACATAACATTTAACCAAATTGTGTCAAAATTGCTTTTGGAAATGAAGAGCAGTCATCTCAATCCTGGGAACAGCAAGCTGGAAGCCCACATTCCCATCAGCAAGAAGGTGTGGATAAAGGGCTCATCATTCAGTTGTTAAAAAGCAAACTGCAACCAGTTTGTGGTGAAGTGCTCCTCGGATACGGGAATGCCAAGGTTAGAGGAAAAATAATTCCAATTCCATAAACTTGCCCTGAACTGGGGTTATTGCTGATAATCAAAAGCCACAGACGTTTCAGAACCAGCAAGAAACTTCATACCAGGCCTAAACCGAAAACCAAGAGGGTTTTTCTGCTCCACTGGTTCTCAGCTTTGCCTCCTTGCCAGCCAGAATAGCAAGGGGGTCTCATCCAGACACGATGCAGTCCTGCAGAGACACAGTTGTACTGCTGAGATGCTGCTAGCGCCAGGGTGGCTTCCATTTCGGGTGTTAGAGCCATGGAGATAAGAGCAGCAGTGCTGGTGCAGCCCCATGGTTTGGCTGGTGCAAAAATAGACCTGCAAGACAAGGCAGATCTTCCCTTATCACCTTCTGTGCCATGTAGGAAAAGGCTGGAAGAGCTCAGCTGCTCAAGAGAACTATTTTCATGAGTGTGAATACAGCTCCAAGGGTGATGCTAAGAAAGGACAGAGGGAAAAGCAATGTTGGCCATAGCATCTTCTTTGTCCTCTTTAAATAAGTAGGATTCTAGAGATAAGCAGGGACAAAGTAAGCATGAATTTCAATTGATGGCACCAAATGCTGACTGCTGGCCGTGGCTCCATCTGAGAATGGGGAGATGCCAAGGAAAACAACCCACTGGAGCAGAGCAAAGCTGTGGCCATGTGATGTGAAAAGGCATGGCTATTAGCAAGAGCAGCCTTTCTCCCACATCCACAATGGGGTTGGAGGCATGAGCGAGGACTGGGAGGCAATCCATACCACAGGACTGCCTCAGGCTCAGGGTGCCAGCCCGCCTGTGGGGCCAGAACACAAGCAGCATCTGGCTGTTGCTGTTAGCAGCCTGGGAAAGACAGCCTGGAGCACTGAGCTGGTGCTCACTGCCTGAGCAAGCAGCCAAAAAGGACTCGGTCCTGCCAGTTATTATCAGATGCCCAGTGTGACCCCAGAAGAATTCATTGTTAAAGGTAGGAAAGGGCAGACAGCACAGAATGGGGAGTCCAGGCTGAGAACACTTTGCAGACACAGATGGAAGCCAAAAACTAAGTTGCAGGATCACAAAATCAGCCAGGTTGGAAAAGCCCTTTAAGCCCATCCAGTCCAACCATTCCCAGCAGTGCCAAGGCCACCCCTAACCCATGGCACTGAGGCTGTGTGAACCCTTGCAGGGCCGGTGCCTGCAGCCCTGCCCTGGGCAGCCTGTTCCAATGCCTGAGCACCCTCTGGGGCAGGAATTGTTCCTCAGCTCCATCTAAACCTGCCCTGGTGCAGCTTGAGGCCGGTTCCTCTTGTCCCATCCCTTGTTCCTTGGGACCAGAGCCCAGCCCCTCCTGGCTCCATCCTCCTCTCAGGCACTTGTAGGGAGCCATCAGGTCCCCCCCTGAGCCTTCTCCAGCCCTTCCCCATCACACTTGGGCTCCAGGCTCTGCTTCAGCGCCCTTCTCTGGCCCTATCTAGCACCTCAATGTCTCTCGTGTAGTGAGGAGCCCAGATTCAAGGTGCAGCCTCACCAGCACCAAGTCAAATCACCCTGAGCTCCCCATTCACCGACAGCTACACCCTCAACATCAGTGCATGCACACAGGCTTCTGCCCGCTCCTCCAGCCATGGGCAAAAGGATACCCAGCCAGGCTGAACTCTCCAACCCTTCAGAAAGCTCTGTTTTGAGTAATAACTGCAGTGTCCACCCAGCAAGACACAAAGCTAATGAACCCTTGTCTGCACGCAGTGTGTGCTTTCCAGACAGCAGGCTCAGCAGCCCAGGGTTTGCCTCCCCTGTCGTGAGTAATCAGTGCACCTCGGTTGTCACCGGCCGTCAAAACTGGTATTTTCATTCCTTAAATTAGAGGAAGAGAGATGGGGATGGAAACTGGTGCATTGCCAGGGCTGGGGTAATTCTCAGAGATGCACAGGGATTGCTCCCCTAGCTGGTCATGTTCTCCTTTATTGGCCTCATCCAGGGCAATGGAACACATTAATACAGGGGGCAAAAAAAACCCCACTATAATTCATTACTTTGGGCCAATTTCCTGTTCTTCTCATACTCGGCCAGTGACTGGGGGTACCCTGGCCTGGGATCCTGCTCTGCCTTGCTGCATGCTCAGTGGTCCAGCAAGTGTTCTCCCAGCTCATTGCTTTCTTTGTGTCTGCCTAGGTCTGGGTACCTGCTGCCGGTGCATGGGGACCCTTTCCCTTGTCTATCACAGATACTCAGTATTTCCCTTCTTGGTACAGCCTGAAACATCTTCCTGCTGGGTGAAAACAGGTCCTGAGTGCTGTGACTCTCCCTCCTGAGCACTGCTTTCCAGGATAGCCTCTGTTCAATGGGAAAAGGACTCTGAGCTAAGAGGGTCCATGGGCTCTAAGCCACAGTTCTCTGGACCAGTCTGAGTTT